CTAAGTCTTGACAGACGCTGGCAGAGGTAGAGGGATGGGCGCTCGGGTTCAGCTGCAGGGAATGAGGCAGCTGAGAGTGATGATGAAAGGGTGGGGAGCACCTCATATTCTGATGAGGAACTTTAGGATAAAAGTGGGTTTTGTTTGTATGGATCTTTGCAGAAGGCAAAGTGTCTCTTTTGGGGTGTGAATCTTTGTTCCTGCCACAATTCTTGAGCTTGGGTCCTTGGACTACAGATTCCTGTGTTCCTGTGTTCCTGTGTTTACTTCTTGTGATTCTGTGAACAACGACTTCTACTCTACCGCTTTGACTCCGGACCGTCTTGGACAATGCTTTTTGCCTCTTGGACTTGGTCAACTTGCTACCTCATGCTTCGACTTTGGAACGTTTTTGGACTCTGTTTTTTGCCTCTTCCTAATGTGCTTTTGAATGTTTTGTGAACTGTGTGAGTTTAAAGTAGATTGCTGTACTTTTTTGTTAAAACGGAATAAACGTCAGGATAATCCGGGTTATATTTTAGTTGCTTATATCACCTTGTTTTTGATACCAACTCATTGGTTGAGCTTGAGGCACTGAATTTAAGTGTTTCAAAGACTCTTTTGTGAACAATAAAACTGTGTTTGGACCTTGTACTCTGTGTTTGGTTTTACTGAGGCTTCTGGGTCTTGACATAGCATGAGCCTACACAACTCTACACAGAAGTAAGTCAAATTACGTTTAATAGACTTTTTTCTGGGTAAATGTGTATAAGCTTGCACCCTTAATCGTCTTCTGAGTGTCAGCTTTTATTCATAAATTAATCCAACTTCAAACTAAAAACCTTGAGAAAATGGCTACATGTGTTTGATGTCCTGCTGAAAGCTTAAAAGGGAAATTTAACTTCTTTGATGCTTTCATCTCTAAAGAAATCTCACTAAAATTATGATCAAAGCAATTAATAGTACTTAACAACAAATCATCTTAAGGCAATAATAAGCATTCTGCTGAATCCAAGCAATCAATTACATTTTACAAATCTTCATATGGGGCGGGGAGGCAGAACTTTATTTAACTTTTTTTTTCTTTCCCAAAGGTCAATGAGATGTCAGTAGAAGCACAACTCATATCAAGGAGCAATTTGGTGGTTATTATATATTATATATCATAGGGGTTAATATATATCATAGGGGTGGGAGGTCTTTTGGTTATTGTGGGATACATGGGGGGAACCCATAAAGTGTACACATCACATCACCTCTTTCCCTTCAGTGTACAACACTCTCATATGTACATATAACCTAAATCTTTTCCTCCCCTTCAAGCTACCACAGAGCACATCTTCCAACCTCTTTCTCTGGCTCACTGAGATCATCTTCAATCCCCTCCTCATTCTACTAGGAAATGGGGCATGCTGAGATGACTTCCAGCAGCCCAAATTAACTGGGTATCACCCCTTTTTTGCAACAGAAATTGCTGATTATGCTAGAAAAAGAGGTTCACAGAACATTATGTCCCTTGTGTGGCACTATTCATGCCAACTGTTCATTTTAGGTATAGCACTGAAGAACACAGTTTGACCATTTTTGATATACCACATATAAAATAATGCATTTATTTGTGGCATTGCTACAAGACACATCTCTTATTAAAGGTATAACGAACACTAGTAGTTTTCCTCATCCTTGCTGATAATGGGTACATGGAGATACTGATTTAAGAATATGTTCAGTTGTAACAAAGTTGTCATAATTTGGGCTTTTTTTGGGGAATAATTTTCCTGAAAACATTTTGGGATCAAAAAGATGTGTATTTTGTGCAATATACATTTTAAGTTGTTTTTGTTTTGGGGCAAACATTTTCTTTTCTGTATCCCTTCTTTCACCCCCACCCCTTTTTTGTGTGCAAAATAATCATTGTGGTAAAAAAACAGACCACTGAAATACACGGAAGCACTTATCAGCTATTAGGATTTTTGGGTTAGGGGCCGGTGCATCTGGGGACCCACAGATTAGAAGGCACTGCCGTAGGATCATGAGAGGGGAAGGGGGAGGCCCTAGTAGGGTTCTTAAAGAATTGGTACAATGTGTTATTTGTGTATGGGGTTATTATGCTTTAATATGTTTAATGGATTTAAATGGTATTCATATGCTTATTGTTTCTAGTAATTTTATGTTATGTTTTATATGGTTTGTATAATTGGTATTGAATTTTTACCTAGATGTATGTTGTATGTCGCTCTGATCCTCCCCTAAGGGGTGAGAAGAGTGGGATAGAAATGAAGTAAATAAATAAATACTTGCTCAGTAGGTAGAAAACTATCAAAATTGTTTGGAAATATGAGAATAGTGTAAATAAAGATTTTGACATTTTATCTCTGTACCTATATACATATCTATATAGAATGGAGGTTGCCATTTACCACCCCCCCCCCCCAGAAGGGCAATAATAGGAAGACTATAGGCATTGGGAAAGGCAAAGGGGATACGAGTTTGGCCTCTGTCCACCCCTGTGTCATTAGCTAAACAGTAGCCCTTAGTTTGTCCATATTTTTCTATTTTACTTCCCTAGTTCTTGCTATACTGTGTTTTCAAGGCCAGGGTTCAAAGAAGTCCAAATGACTTAAATGGTATAATTAACATTTTCCTTTTGTACGCCAACATACTCCTTTATTTAAAGAAGGCACTTCTGAAACTCTACTGTTTTTTTTTTTAAGAAGGCGTGCCAAGTAGTATCAGAATAATCCTTTTTGAAGGGACAGGGATCCTTGAATGTACAAAATTAATCATATTCTCTGTCATCAAAAAGTACTCTTAAGATGACCTCGGCTTAAATCCCAGAACTGAAAGCAAAAGAAATTAATTTGAGCCAGGAGTTTACATGATATACACTGTTCATCTCCACACTAATCCAGACAATCAATATTACAGCCAGTAGCAGTTGTCAAAAGTTACCTATTCTTTAATGGTGAATGATTAGGGAGGAGATGCTAGTCTGTCATTACAAACTCTGTAGATGCCATTATCAACATGTTCCTAAATTGGAAAGAAAAATAAGCTTACATTCAATGAAAATTGATTGATGCTAAATCTAGTAGGTGGCCCTGGCTAATTTGGATTGACACCATCTATGCAACTTGAAAAAGTAATGCATGAAAGTACCATAATAGCATTGTGGAACCATAATATCTTCAGCAGTGAGTGACTGAAGCGCTACACAGACTATACACAGCACACAGTGCCCAAGTAAATCACTTAAGCAGGCACACATTCATCATTTTTCTGGCACACCTACTGGGAGATCATCTTTTCTTTTGAGCTGGGAAAATTTTTAAAAAATCACCTTCAGCAAAACTTTGTAAGCTACCTTCTGTAGATCAACAGGTCCCCACAGGGCCTTAATTTGTGCAAGCTGTTTCAAAACCTTAGGTACTGAGCCATCACAAACACAGTTCAATTCCATAGAAAGTACTCTGGGGATAGTACGTGACAAATGTAGCACTATAGGAATAATGAGCCATGATCAACATCATAAGCAACTATGGAATTTGCCTGGGCTTGCTGCAAAATTGCTTGGTCAGTCAATACATATTTAAATATATAATAGTTTGTTCTTTGCAAAATCCTACTGCTATGTCATTCATTTCATGGTTTGATCATTCACATCCAGGTTTCTTAAAGGACTGAATAAGAAAGTTAACTCTGCTGAGGCATTTGTCATGCTTTGAATGAACGAATGGAAATGAGCAACCACATGAAATTTTATACAAAAAAGTATTGCTTGCTCAAAATATGTTATTGTGAGATTCAGTGAAACATTCAAAATAGAGACAGTATGATTTTTACATTGCTGTCAGCAATGCTGCCAGTTTCATGGGCTGGAGGACAAATTTCTGCAGTTGGGAATCAGTTGCACTCATAGAATCATAGAGTCAGAAGAGACCTCATGGGCCATCCAGTCCAACCCCCTGCCAAGAAGCAGGAAAATTGCATTCAAAGCATCCCCGACATATGGCCGTCCAGCCTCTGTTTAAAAGCCTCCAAAGAAGGACCCTCCACCACACTCCGGGGCAGAGAGTTTTACTGCCGAGCAGCTCCCACAGTCAGGAAGTTCTTCCTAATGTTCAGATGGAATCTCCTTTCTTATAGTTTGAAGCCATTGTTCTGCATCCTAGTCTCCAGGGCAGTAGGAAACAAGCTTGCTCCCTCCTCCCTGACTTACTTTCACATATTTATACATGGCTATCATGTCTCTTCTCAGCCTTGTCTTCTTCAGGCTAAACATGCCCAGCTCTTTAAGCTGCCCCTCATAGGGCTTGGGGTTTCCACATGAATCATAGCCCTGACTGTACAGGCCAGGCAGGAATCATATCAACTAATCCCTACTTTCAGAAAAAGCTCCTGAAGATATCACTGGCAGTGTAAATTTCAACTTGGGCAAGGGGAACAAGAGATTAATCATATCAGCCCCAAAACTCAACTATGTACAAATACTGAACAAGTAATAGGCAAAATTTACAAACTCTTCTTAAAACCTGAGATGGAAGAGCAAGTTAAGGATTGTATGACAAAATGGGTTAGAAATTTTGAATGTAATATACAAATAGATCAGTGGGAATGGATGTGGTCAAAAAGTCTAAAATTCTATTTGTGTTATGATTTTGCAATTTTTTAAAAAATAGATGATGTATTTTCTGTACATGATACCAGATAATTGTCTAAAATGTCTAAAGTTTCAACAAATGCTTTCTGGAAATGTGCCTTTATATTATATATGGTGGACTTGTGAAAAGGCTAAAATATTGGGTTAGAAACACAGTCTTATGTAAAAAAAATTAAAAAAAGATTAAGATTCAGTCAAAACTAGAACATTTTGGGTTTAATGGATAACTATGGAGTAATTTTTCAGTATGGCTTATGTGTGTCATGGTTTTGTTTTGTTTTTGTTTGGGCTTGTGGGCTAATTGTCTGAGAGGAACTATGCCTGCATAAAGCTTTTAACATTTGCTGTTGTGATTACTTACTTGATTAAAATGTTGCAACTTATCAATTAAACTGCTGATGTGCGGGTCCAACCCTTTGACTTTCAGTTCTGGATTATCAATTTGTGCCTTCAATCCATTGGTCACCACTCGGTTGGTGTAACTGCAATTGAAAAGGATAAGCTGCAGTTAGTGACAATAAAAGTTGGAAAATGGTTTTTTAAGTTGAATATAAAATGCCTTTTCAGGGCCAATGCCTCAGAAGCATATAGCAAAACCATTTTCACTTGGGGAGGAGAAAGAAATGGGGGGGGGGGGGGGGAGAGAAATGTCTGAGCCCTTGTAACTATAAAAGCAGCTTCTGGAGGAAAAAAGTTTTCATACATAATGACAAAAGTAATCCCCAATTAGTACATATAAATTAGTAAAAACACTTTGAAGCTTCCAAAAAAAAAAAAGCAAAACCCAAAAGAAAATCAATTTAAAACATAGTAACTTGAAGGTAAATACTTATTGTGCAAATCATTGTATGTGATCTGAGTTGTAAATACATTCCAAAGAACTGTGATTCATATGCAAATTCACAAAAATGGTCCACCTTGAAAACTTCAAAATATATTACTTTCCACAGCCAAAAGGCCTAAAATTGCCTATCTGTGATGCAATACTGAATATATTGTAAAAGCTGACCTAGCTGTAGATGCGCCAAAGGTGAATCCAGTAGCAACTAAAGTGTCCATGCATGGCGAGGCTTCCCTGTAGAGTGGGCTTTTGGTATCTAGCAGGGTTTGGTTCCAGACCCTCCCACCCCTGATACAAAAAAAAAAAAATAGTAAAATGGTGATCCTCATATAAAATAACTAAATAAAGGGGGGTTTTTTTTGGATTTTTTAAAAAATCAAGCTGTAGATGATTGAATCTGTGAATACAGGATTTATGAACATGGAAGACCAACATTGTAAAATGCTTTAGTTAGCTTCTAAACTAAGTACTGGAGTTTTGTGGAACTCTACCATATTACTTTACTTTGGAATCAAAACTGTATTTCTAAGGCCCTGTCACACAGCTGAATAAATTCCCTGCTTTGAACTGGTTTACATGGCAGTGTGGACTCAGATAACCCAGTTCAAAGAAAATATTGTGGGATTTTCTGCCTTGATATACTGGGATATAGAGATGTGTGGAAGGGGCCTAGATGTTCTGCTAGAAAAAGAAGCAAAATTTCAGGGGAGGGAGAAGATTCTTAATTGGGAGGGGTAGCACCCTCATTTCCCACCTCACTGCAATACTTGAACTCCTAATCTCCTTATGGTCTTCCTTGTTTTTCTGAAATACATGTTCTCTACCCTACTCATGAATAATGAGACCAGACACAAGAAATGGGATGAAACAATTCCCATCCTACACAACTGTTCCAGAAGGTGCATCACCAGATCCTATCTCCCCCAACACCTGCCACGAAAACCTAGTTTACTGTCAGCATTTGGAAGTAACTGGCATACATAATATGGTAAACTGCTGAATCATTCAAGCCTAGCCACATGATAAAGTGCTGTGTCACCCTAGTCATCAGGCAAGTGGCTGATGCAGTGAGAGAGGTTATAAAACAAATATCTCCAATATGCTCAGTGATGATGAACTGATGATGGATGATGGTGATAATGGATTGATGATGGACAGAGAGACAGAAAAAGAAAGTGTGTATTGTACATAGCTGTATTATTTATTTCTGTCCCACTTTTCTCCCATGATGTGACTCAAAGTGGTGTACAGCATGTAAAATCAAGACAATTACAGACCAAAAATATGAACATGAACCTCGACAAATGAGAAACTAACAATTTAAGACATCAAAACATTATCAACTCCCATTACACCTGGCATAAAACTAACATAGCAACATAAATTAAAAACATACCAGTTAAAGCCCATATAATGTTCTGCATCTATTGAAGATAAAGCCTTCCTACATAAGGAAAGAACAACTGTCTTTGGAGTCTGTGTTGTTCTTTCAGTGTAATTCCTACACTACACAGAGGGAACTTGGGTAATAGCTGGACTGGGGCTTGGAGTTGTGTCCAGTACTCTGCTAAGGTGAACACACCACCCTTGTCCGGTCCTCCATGGCAGTGTAGGGCAGAAAAGGGCTAGATTGATATTTCCTAAATCATCCCAATATCTGTTGGCAGAACAATCAAGACTGTATCAATCGGTTGCAATAAATATGTATAAATGAAACAATTAAATAACAATCTACCTCAGCCCTCATTTAATGCATGCCAATTTTAAAATTATAAACAACTTGGGGAAGAGTAGTCTGTGAAACAGAGAAATGGTCCATTTTGTACTGTTCTTCAAGAAATAAAGTTTGAATAATTTCAGACTAGAAGCTAATTCCTTAAAAGTGGCACAAGTGTCCTTTATCACCTATTTCTTTTGATGGTGTAGGTGTCTATTTATACTATATTTTTGTTTTGTGTATTTTAATATGTATTTTATGGAAATATGTTTTAATATGTGCATTTTATGGAGTGTTTTAAATGATTATGTATTTTGATTATGTGTTTTAGCAATGTTGTAACCTGCCTTGAGCCATGAGGAGAGGCGGGTAAGAAATAAAATTATTATTATTACTAATATTACTATTACTATTATTACTACTATTACTATTACAATAGTGTTCATAAAACAGTTCCACTTCCTTTTAAAGTGGAACTTGTTAAGTTGCAATGCTCTTAATGATACATCCAAGAGAATTCACTAATTTTCCAAGTCAGTGAACCTATAAGAGATATGCAATATTTCATGGTACAAATCTCAGTGAGCCTGGACGTTATTACGCATCTTTCAGTAGATCACAATCACCTTGGGCATAGTACTTATGCTATAATATATTAGAATGTCTGTGCACAAATGACCAATGGTTGTCTCAGATAATTGTGAGTATCAGGTCCTCTTCATTTTGCTTTGTTCTAGCACATTATTCCCCTCTTTGTTTTGTTGTGTTATTACAGATCAATGCTTTTCCTTACTTGATATCTACAGGTATTCAGCTAAACTCTATCATATACAAAAGAGAGACAAAAGTCATCTGACTGGGACTATAATATTGATATTATTTGAAATGACTACTAATATTTAATGGATACTAATGAGAATATCCGCTTTCACTTAGCAGAATACATCAAGATATACATTTGTGCAGCATATGTGGGGCTGACTAAACTATTTGACAGCTAATATGGTACAGTGACCAGAGTGTTAGACTAAGGACATCATCCCATCCCTTCCCATGACACACTGCAATGTCCAGTGGGGCTCCATCGTAAAAGGGAAGGCAAAGCAGAGTATGCCACCATGGCGGCAACACAGGAGGCTTCCCGTGTTGCTTTGGATCAACGGGAGAAGCTGGGTGGCTGTTGCTTCCCCGCATGTGATGGGCCTCCGATGAGTTGGGCAATGTGGTGCATGGGGTGATGGGTTCACCATGCCCCGGATGGGCACTGCCAAAATTGTCACAATCTGTGGCAATTCTGGTGGCCTCTGTGAAGAGATAGAAAGACTAGGATGCAAATTTTCACTGATCCATCAAGCTCACTTGGTGTATCATGAACATCAAAACCAGAAACAAAATGCTTCCAGGCAACAACGCTTTCTAGTATCAAAATAAACCTCTTCCAGCCCATAAAAAAAACTCCATGATTCCAGTTTCTTCAAGACCACCCCCACGTTTTCTCTCTATTCAAGAAAAGAAAACCCATTCCTACAACAACATCAAGATTCCAGTTTTTATGCCCCCCCCCCTTCCACACACACCCTTCAATGCAGACAAAGGAAATATCCCATCTTCATGTTCTCCTCTCCAAGAAGGCAAAGGAAAGCCTTCCTTTGAGCAATATCAATACTGCACTTTTCTTCTCTCCCTCCTCCTATACATTTATTCATATCTGGGAAAAGCATGGTAAATTTCAAATGTTGCTAATGAGGGCAAGGCAAATTGGGACTTGAATACAGTAAGTACACTTTATACTGTGCATTCCAGGCAGAGTTAAATAGCAGATCTAAGTCAACCAAAAATAATTTTGGTCTTTCATACACAAATTATCATTTTCCAAAAAGTATTAAGAGAGGCCTATACCTTATTTTTAAACACACAAACATATACCAATATATGTTTGGGTGTGTGTATGTGTGTTGGCACGTGGTAGTTTCAATGGAGGAGCCACATTTCATATTTAGCATCATTTTGTAATCATTATACTGAGCATGCAGTACAAAGATTTGCGGGAGATCTAAGACCATGAAATACATCAGTGGAAAGCCTCCAGTTTCCTAATAGCCTATTTTATCTCTCCACAAACAGTCCGTTTCTTACCTCAAAAAAAAAAAAAGGAATTCAAGATTTGTGTCACAAAAGCATCTGATTACTCTTACAAAGTCTCTTGATTAAATACCTTATTTCCATTAAACTTAAAAATCTAAATAACTAAGTCCATGGATGTAGCTATTTGAAGTCTACAAACTAATCTGCATTTTATACAACTGTAAAAGACAAGGCTATATTTTGGTATGAACAGAGCTTGAAAATGGTTTTGAAAAGGCCCATGTAAAACAGCATAATTTTTTTCAAGCTGTGTGCTCTTTCAGAGGCTCTGAAAAGGCTGTCCATCCTTTGCTAAACATATGCAGATTCACATATTTTAATCCCCTGCGGCTTCCCTCCCCCCCCCCTTTTTTTTTTTTTTTTTTTTTTTTTTTGCAGAGGAACTGCTATTGACCACAGAGAGACCGCTCTGGAATCAGCAATTTGAAGACTGTTACCCTGAGATATGTGTGATTGAAGGACTTTAGGATAATAGCTTTAAAACACTCATGGGGAAAAAATTAAATATTAAGCGAAGTACCATGATACCTAAAGATCCAAAACAGTTGGGTTTTTTTTTAAAAGCCTAGCACAAAGTTAAAAAAACAAACAAAAATAATTATCAGAAAAAGACAAAATATAACAGAAAGCAGAGGGATTTTAAAACATAATCTCTTAATTGCTAAAAGGAACTATTAGAAATTAGATTATGGAAATATCAAAATGGGCTTATGTGTAAAATAATTTTCAACTGTGCTTTATAGTGTTTAACAATGAAACTTAATTGACGCTTATTGGAA